GTTCTAATTGAGTCAATAGTGTTCAGTAACACAGAATGACACTTGACCCTCCTGTAGGCTGTACAACGTCTTGGCTTAGTCAGCAAAATCTAGTGGAATTTAATTATTTTTAATGGATTCGTTCATGCAAGGTATGTGAGAAGAAATTTTGATAATGATACCGCTGCAGGGAATGTAGGTGAGATAGTGGATTCGCTAATATATGTATGGCTCATGATTTTCTGTATACACTATTGAATTAAGTTATTGTTAGAGCTTTCCTGTTCTGGGCCTGTACTTTCAAAAAAAGTTAAGAGACCGTAAGTTCATCAGCCAATCATTGACGGCCTTTCGAGCAAAATCCACCAATCATAGACAAGAAAATAGAGCGTAAGTACTTACGTTCACTTAGCGAGTTTTGAAAGTATGGCCTCAGGTTGTTAAATTACGGTATTTTAAATTATTATATTGATTATAAATCCAAATAAGTCCAATTCCCATTCTTGCAGACTTATAAAACTTCTTTCTACATACCCTTAATATGGGTGGATTCAAGTTTGAGCTGAAAACATCAAAGTGCCTTTTGAATTCAATCTTTTAAGTTGTATAAGTAATTTAAGTTGATTTTTACTTTAAAAAAATTATCGTCTTCAAGTCACGCGTGTTGAATTTTAGGTCGGGCATTTGTTAGTTATTAAAATATTTTTAATTGCGGTAAACGTCACCGAGTTATTTACGGGATTTTATTGATTCGTTGACTCCTGCATAATATTGCGTTATTCAAGTGAAATTGAATAATGCACGTGATTCCAGTTGCTCAGTTAGAGAGATAACTAATATTGATTTTTTCATATGCTTTCCAAGATCATTATTTTTCATCAAAAATAAACCATCTATTTTGAAAAGCCATCAAGACCTCCTGAGATATCATCAAGCTCGATTGCCCACGAAAATGATGGCAGGGCGATCGGACACTGGAAGCAAAATAGTTTAAACGCAGCACCTGCCTATCCATGTGACGATGCTGGTAAACTGAATTTAGCACGCAGCGTTTATTCAATTTATTCATAATTACATATTTAGTACCTGAAATTAAGTAATTATTTACATTTTTGATCATTCCTATTCTCCGAAGAAATTGGCAATTTTAATTCCTTTAATCGACTTGAATAACTAACTATTCATTCGTCAGCTTAGCCTTCAGCTTCTGTTGAAACGATATTAATATTTTTTTGCACTAATATAATTGATAAAATATTAAGTATAATTGATAATGCAGAATAAATCAATATCACTATCACTTTCTCTTTCACAGTGTACGACTCAAATTAAATTTATTTTCAGGGCTAATTTTTTATTACTTCATTATATAACAATGAATTTGAATTTTCTATGTATTTAAATCCAAATAACATTTAATTGTGTTGTCGAGCTCATATTCGCACCAGGAAGTTTTATTAATCTTATCACACGAGTTGTAGCGAGAAAGCTTTCGTGGGATATTTTTCAGATCTCGCGTATATTTGTTAGTCCCAGGAAATTTATATAATATAGAGACGACATTATCCTAATCTATATTTTCCTGAAATTTCAAACGAAATGGAGCATATTAGTAGCAGTTTTTATGCTAACATGCGTAAACCGGTAAACGTGTGAGGCAATGGATATGTAATGATGTTTGAAGGTCATGACGGAAGAATAGTTTAGTTAGGGATACAATTATTTTCTGATACGCCGACTTTACACGTAATGTTCAGTAGCTATGGGTCGGTCGCAACTGAATATTACCCTAATACATTTGTGTATCTTCAAATTCAGAAATATTTTTAATCCCCGAAATTGCCGTAATGGCGATTGGGTATATAAGTTAGCGTAGTACGCTTTGCGAAGAACTTCCTTACGGGTCCTGTCTGTCGCTTTCAATAGAAATCGTATGAAAGTTGAATTCAAAGTTCCCATGCACTACTCAGAATGAATGGATCCGCCTGCTGGACGAAAGGAAGCTAGTAGATGCAGTGTACCTCGATTTTGCCAAGGCATTTGACAGTGTCCCACATGAGCGCCTGTTGCATAAATTGAAGTCTTTGGGAATTGAGATTAATGTACTCAAACGGATAAGAGATTTTCTAGTAGGGAGACGACAACGTGTCAGTATTAATGGGTCCGTATCAGACTGGGCTTCTGTGCGCAGCGGCGTGCCACAAGGAAGCGTTCTCGGGCCTATTCTATTCGTTGCGTTTATAAACGATCTGCCAGAAGCTGTGTCTAGCGTGTGCTCGATGTATGCTGACGACACAAAAGTTTATAATACAGTGAAGAATACGTCCCAAAAATTACAGTTGCAAGGTGATCTTGACAGGTTAGTGGACTGGGCTGATAAGTGTCAGCTACGTTTTAATGCTGACATGTGTAAAGTAATCCAACTTGGCAAGAACAATGAACAGCAAGATTACAGTATGAGAAGACGGTAATTAAGTATAGTAGATCACGAGTGTGAAGGTTTAATAAAATTAATTATGACATTCAAGAGAAATACTAGTGCGAGATATCAATTCGAGTCAGTACAAACTTCATTATAAAACAATGAATTTGAATTTTCTACATCTTTGAATCCAAATAGTAGTTAATTGTGTTGTCGAGCTCATATTCGCATTAGGAAGTTTTATTAATCTTTTCACATAGGTCATAGAGCATAGACCGCTACCGCTCATGGTCGCCGATCTTATGAAGTGATGTTGACGACGCTTCAAACCCGCTCCACTGTGGCTGAGGCAGAACATTATTATTACCGCATTTTCTCATTTCTGGAAAAAAGGCGCTATTGCGCTCGTTATGTCCGTCCGTCTGTCCGCCTGTCTGTCCGTGACTTCACGTTTTCGTCGACGAGAAAATGCGCTCTCTATCACTCACTGCAGTGAGTACTGAGTTAGATTTTTTTATATGTTCATTGTCACGACGAGTGTATGAAGCCAAGCTATAATAAATAAATATTCTTTTAATCATTCAGTCATTTAGTTTATATCATGCAAACCAACTGCAACATTACCCATTTTATGTCAACGTTACATTTTTAATCATGATTATGTGGTGTTACTTGCACTACCGTATAGAATTATCTATCTGTAGGCAGTTCTTTCTTTAACGTGATTTGTTTATGATAACTTAACTAATTCATTATTATTTGAATTTGAGATTCAAAATACAATTTCGATAGCATTGCACTAATAGCTCGTCAATAATCGGAAGATTAAATTCTAAATTTGAACGCCGTTTAGTAGTGGGCTAGTGGCTGACCTGTCACCACTGTCTGAGCAGGCACTAGTTGCTTTATTGCATTGGTTTGCATGGACAACACGTACAATTACACACAGTATATATAATAATTACTCAAGCTGACGCAAGATCAACGTGCATGTGTCGTTTTTTCATTTGTGAACACGATTTGCAATGGTGCGAAAGTAAGGAGCGCTAAATTTTCCGAAATATAATTGTTTATCTTCGAACTTTTTTACGTGAGCATAGAAAACGTTTTTATGGCTAACGTAACTCTAAAGGTATGTGCGATTCTCATGGTCTTATCCAACAAATGTATCAATATGAAGAAAATATTTTATTGAGTAACAATGTATTGTGAATAATAGAGGCTTGGTTGAACTAATATTAGTACAACCATAAATAGAGGGACTTGCCAGATTGAAATATTCTTAAATCAATATTTATTTTATAATAATAGCAACGACATCTCACAGCGTTTATTACAATGCGGTGGTTTAATTCATATTTTAAATTATACAATAGTGCATTTATATCAGAATAGAATAGTATCAATTTTACGCAGCTCCTCCATACCCTCAAAAAGTTGTTTAATCCTGTAAAATGAACGGCACGTGAACACAACGATGCCAATGAAGTCACCCGCGTTTATGAAGTGCTATTGAGAGACGCTCTAAAAGTGGCCTCGAACGGCAGGCGGCAGGCGCACACAGCGGAAGAAGCAACAAACAAAGCAGCAGCAACAAAAAAAACACTTACTAAATAAAATAAAACTAACAACTAACCTTACCTATTATACCAAGCAATTTTTTTTATTATTATAGCATTTCGAAATTGCTTCTGAAACTAAATTTGATACGAAAAACTAGGGCATATTTTACAATACAATTCGCTAAAGTCAAATATAAACCAACCTCCTTCGCTACTGACTCTTGTGTAACAAAATAACATCAGTAAATAATTTTAGGACCCATAGAAAAAATGCTTTCTTTGTCTTGTTAACTGCGACTATAGGTCAACAAAAAGTCGGTCCTCGCTATCAACTAAAATTTGCATTTAATATTCCATTAATTCATGATGAATCGAAGGCCAGTTTTGCTACTTCAAATTCTAAATTCACATTGAATGAAGAATATATTCACGAAGCGATTCTAAAGATAACGGATATGAACTAATTAAATTATTTATCCTCGGTAGATTCCAAGACTAAAGCAGGATTTTCTTAAGGCACCACGTACTATTTATTGCAATTAGCAGCCTATGCGTTGTAGCTTTAGTAATGTTTTATTTTACTTGGTTATATTTTGCTTAGATTTGACGGTTGGCCACTATATCCACGTGGGCGACGTGTAGCAGCAACGGCAAATCGTTGCAAGCTTATCTTGTGTTAGGTAGATGTTACTATTTTTGTGAATTAATGGAGCAAATTAAAATTCGTTCGTGACATTGAAAATGTTCGCGTATTAACTTGAGGACCCTCGCTAGCCAGATGGATGCTTTTTCGAAATAGGACACTTATATCTTCAAGTGTGTATTGTTTTACAGTGAGTTCTTCAGCGTCAATTTTTACTTTGAATATATCCTAGGGTTCGATCGGATCCATCAAGATTATAATTGTGCAACAACTTCTCGTTTATAGAAGTTGCCGAAACTTTCACACACGTGATTCCGATGTAAACTTGCAGATGCAATGAATTTGTACTCTTTTACCGTATAGGCCTAGAGTTGGGATGAAATAAACCATCATGTCTTATTCCATTATATTTTAATTTAAGGTCGAGGCCATTATTTACACGGGATGCTATGGTTATCAATATACATGAGACATCAGAGGGCGGGGCCAAAACACTGCAAGGGCTGGGAGATAATATATAGTTGAACAAGCTTTATCTTGTGCCTGTATAGCGCAGGGAATTCATCAACAGACTTTACTTAGACTAAAAAGTGTACAAAAAATAACCTATGTAATGTTAATGCTACAATGAAACATATATAGTTGTGAGAAAAGGAAACTTCACAGCGACTAAAAAACATTATTTCGAAATCGAAAAAATACCTCACAATTCCGATAAACTTCTGTTAAACATCAACATCTTTTTGGAGACGACAGACAACTACTAGTGGCAGCAAAATTTTTCTTGTGTTATAAATAGGTTGTATATAGATTTAAATTCGATAAGAAGTTCAGCTAAAAACGTATTTTGCTGCACGAAGAAAAGACAAAAACGTCGTAAATTCGAATTAAAATCACTGAAGCTTTGGTTCGGTCAATGAAAATAATCGGTCATACAACCAAATAAAGTAACATTTTAGAAATTTAAAATTATTTTAAAATGTAACATTTTTTGCGTGGCTGAGGACATTCGTATTGCGTACATGGGGGGAAGATGTGTGGTTATTAGTTATATATACAGTAGTTATGCTATACATAGAATTAATTTTCCATACAGTTCTGTCATCGCATGCTTACATGATTTATTTGCAAATGAATATATATATTCATAGAAACGTACGCTGAATAACTGCTAACTTCGGCTAATTCAGAAGTGCCTCGAACCTCGTTGTTTAACAATCTATCGAGAAAGCTGTTAAAGGCATCATGAAAGTTTCAATAGTTTTAATGCTTTCATAGTAATTATAATTTAAATTTATTGGCTAAGTAAAATGTTTTCGGCAAATGAACTGCGATGTATTTTCTATCATGTCATTCTTGGCTCAAGTAATGGTGAAAAAAAGTGATCATAAATTCCAGTTAACCCGACTAAAGGGTTAACTGAGCGATACTGTGCAATTGTGGTGATATTAAAAACTTCTTATTAATATGAATATGCTAAAAGCCTACTCTAGAATTTTCGTGTCTTGGATACAAACATTTCTAATTCTAAAATTCTTCGATGTACCATAAAAAAATTGCTCAAGTATTGCACTCTGAATCTTGTAGGTAGTAATTTGAAAGTTTATATCATGCAAACCAACTGCAACATTACCCATTTTATGTCAACGTTACATTTTTAATCATGATTATGTGGTGTTACTTGCACTAAATAGCATGTATAAAGTTGAGGTTAATTCTTCATTATTGTAATGGACTCCATCAAATGATATTATTTGCTAATTTTTCAAGCATCACCATAGTTTAGAATGCGTCCTGGAATATTAGATATTTGTTTTTGAAAAATTTTCGACATATTCACGTTAGTTACATCGCAGAGATCATTCCTCCTGTTTTTTATTTGATTTCTTGTTTATTCATTAATTTAGATTGCTTATACATAATTTGTTAGTTATACTATTCCTTTTTGGAAATTAAATTGTAAAATTCGACGGACGAGAAAACTGTTTGCTGTATACCCGATTTCCCCAACATAACAATTTTCCCCAGCCTAATAATTTTTCCCGGCACTTCTATTCTCCCCAGCATAATCATTTATTTTCCCCAAGATCACTCTACTACTTCCACTCTAAAAATTTTATGCGCTTTCATTAGACAGTGCAAAAATATATCTTCAAGTTACCATATAAATCAACGTATAATAAAATTCAGGGACAAGCACCTGTCTAACAAGCGCACACAAACAAAAAACATTAATTGATGTCAATAAATTAAATCTTATCAATAATGATATGACAAAATAGGGTAAAAAACAATACAAAACTGCACCAATGCCTTTATATCTATTCAAAGCCGCTTGGCCTTAAGTCAGTTCACGATACGTAAGACTAATAAACTATTCGCTTCACTTCTAAAAACCATCATAATCTATTGATACAAAAAGCCTTAATCGAAAGTATTTAAAACAATAAATATAAAACAACATGAGTGGGCAACGTGTTCCGAGGAAGGAGCAAGTTGATCAAAGCGCATAGAGATGGCAAGTGCGGTAAAGTGCAAGCGTTTTGGGGGGAAAACATGGCATCAAGCAAGTAAAGTCGTAAACAATATAACGCTTTTCAGCATATGTCGTTCCGGGGAATGTATAATAGTCTGATTTTAATCCCGGAGTGCTTAGATTGCCACGAGTTACTGATTATTTGATTATTCAAATATAGAGCTACCAGGGCCTAATAATCGGCAGGAGAACTGGTGACTGTAACAATGTTCGTCTATCACGCAAATATCCACGGTATTTAATTAAATGCTCTCTTAAATTCAATAAGCAGACACGTAAATCATGGCCATGATTCAGCCTTGTTAAAGTTCAACGAAATAAGAAGCATTTGACGATAACAATACATTCACTTAAAAGCTTCTGATTTCTCGTGATTGAAGGGAACAATTTCGCCCGAATCGAGCGAGGAAGAGTTATGGAGATGCTATCATGGCTCACATATTCAAACTACACACCGGAATACTGCCTACATGCTAGGGTTGACAAGTTCTGTATCAACATTAAATATTTCAGCGTCACTCTTTCGAGAGTGTCCAGTAAGCACTAATGCAGCTAAGCGTTTACCGCACAATAGTAATTGTGAGTGTATTATTACATCCAGGACTAAGAATCTCATACCCGTGAAGATTCGTGGGGCTAACTATATTAATATGGTACATAGAAATCGTTCAAGTGCGTGAATCAATCCATCGGCGCGACACGGTATGCGACGCATTACGGTACAATAAGAAGTAACGTACGTGGCTGAGGAAGCGATTCTAAGATGTACTGTATTTCTTCTCGGAAGCATCACACGTACCATTCTTTAACGTCCTTGCGCTCCTTTTTAACGGGCCGACGATCTCCGGCTTTGGTAGTACCGTTGTTCTGCCCGTTCACAATCATAGTAGGCCCTTGTGTTAAAGACGAATACGTTTTAGCTTCCTCTATTTTACTTATCTCCCGGGACTTACTATTGCATTTGAGTATGATCAAAATGACTATAATAATGACTATAAGGATTCCAGCTACGATGCTTATGATGAGAGGAACTTGCTTGGTTGTCTCGTTGGGAACGCCTTGGATGTTGTCGGGGACTTCGATCTTGGGTTCGTCGACTCCCACAGCTTCATACTCATTGAGATTCAAGTCAACATCTGGGAAACCATAGTCCGGGTAATGCTCGTGGAAATCCGTAGAAGGAGGATTGCTCCACTCTGGATGGCTGTTCTCGTTGCTTTCGTTGCCACTGCCATCGAAGGGATGTTCAGTAGACGCAGGACTCCTATTGTAAGTCTGCGCGCCGCTGCCGCCTCGCACTCCTGTTCGTATATTGCTTCGCTGATCCGAAGTATCGACACTCCCGGTGCCATCAACAATCCTGCTGCTGTCGATCCCGTCACTGCCACCGGTGCCACTGACGTCAGTGTGGTCGGTGTCGCCCTCTCTGTTGTTGCTGGTCGTGTCTGTAGCTGAGGACGACTCGTGCTCCTCCGAATGAATGACATCGGGAATCAGCATTGGAGGCGATGTGGCCGACGGCTGAAACCCAACTGTAAGAAATAAATACTTAATAACCGCTATATAACTGACGCAAAATAAGGCATCTTCATCTAAAACGCTTATCACAGTAACTCCAACTTACTCCGATTGCACTCAAGGCAGGTATTAATCTATACAGAGCGTAAGCCCAAACTTGTTCAAAAAGTCAACACTCACCTCTCTCGCCCTCAATGAGGTTCCCCTCATCCGTGTTAAACTCGCCAGATCCTGAGCCGATATAACAATCCTCTTCATCATCACACATCCTCCCATCAGCTCCCGTGCGCCCCTGGACAATCCTGCCACCGCTGGTATGGATTGCGGGTGGTGGTTTGGGTGTGGTGGGGCGAGTGGGTGGGATGTACACAGGTGTGATCAAGTCGTCCCCTGCTGAGGGTAGAGGATAAGGTTACTTCTACGCAAGTCGTCCCCTGCTGGGGGTAGAGACTCAGGTTACTTCTACGCAAGTCGTCCCCTGAGGGTAGAGACTCTGGTTACTTCTACGCAAGTCGGTTCCCTGCTGAGGGTAGAGACTCAGGTTACTTCCATGCCAATTTTGAGCTGCACGAATAGTAAGCAACAGAGCTCAATTTTTCGACAGCGAACTTGCGTCATCTTCTTAACTAGTTTCAATTTCACAGTGATCACGAGCTCACAGTAAAATTTTGCATATATACGATTAAAAGAACTAAAAATATCTGTTTTCAATGAAAGAATTAAATGAAATAGACAAAGGAATCAATATTCTTAATAGAGATTACGCACTCTTGGCAAACCCAAGTTATACTGTAGAAAATAATCTAACCCATGAACGAATTATTTGGTTTTGTTAACGAATTTGTTAACGAGTTAACGAATTTGAAATTTCGTTAACTTTTTAAACCAGTTCGCGAAAAATTTGAAAATTTATACAACCAAATTGCTTCACAACCGCAGGTTGGTAATCCATCTTGAACAAAATGAATAACATTATTATAACAGTGCGCCACGAGAGTAAACATGGAAACAACGAGTACCATGACACAGCAAGTACCATGACACAGCAAGTACCATGACACAACAAGTACCATGACACAACAAGCACCATGATACAACAAGTACCATGAAACAACGAGTACCATGACACAACAAGCACCATGACACAACAAGCACCATGACACAACAAGTACCATGACACGACAAGTACCATGACACAACAAGTACCATGACACAACAAGTACCATGACACATGTATCATGACACAACAAGTACTATGAACATCACCTGATCCCGTCTCGAAGACCGGTACGCACTGGTCCTCATCGTCGATGTCACAGTCGCTGCCGGCGCCGCTGTAGACGAGGTCGTCATTGTCACCTTGCTGGGCCCCCCCGGCCGGCATCTGTAGGGCAGTTCCATCAGTAAATATAATTCATAGCAAAATAATACATCAATGAAAGCACTTATTTTACGTAAAATTAGTCCAACAAAAACTTCATTCGACAATTTAATAATTCAATCGGGTGAAATGAACGAACTTTCAAACAGCGAAACCTTCGAAGTGATTAATTACATTACACATAAACTTTTTATAAATTTGAAGAAAAATAAGTATGTGTGGGAAATCTCGCACGGCATTGCCGAAAAATACCATCCGGAGCTATTGGCTACAAATAAACTATGAGATAAAACAAAGCGATCGCAACCGCTGTTTAAAACCGGGAACTGCAACTGGAATATCAAGCGACTATGCATTTCTAAACCTGATATCCCATTAGGCCTGGCATGGATCCAGAGTTATGCCAGGTATATCAGGCCACTGTGCACGATTAAACCTACTATTCCTATAAGCACTAGATATGGAACCAGGAATTCTATCAGGAATATATAGCCACTAAGCATATCTAAACCTGCTATTCCTATAAGCACTAGATATGGAACCAGGAATTCTATCGGGAATATCTAGCCACTAAGCATGACTAAACCTACTATTTAGGGCCAGGATTTTCATTGGAACTGGAATTTCTGAAGCATATTACCGTAGGGCTGACCTGTTGCATGTGGCCAGCACCAGCACGGGAGGCAGGTGCTCGCTCTATCCTCTGAGGGAGGCTCAGCAGAAGGTGTACGTCGCCCTCAACCTTGACGCGAGGGTCGCGTTCAGCCGCCAGGTCCAAGGGGCGCTCACCGTTGGCCACCACTCCCGCTAGGATACCCTGACACCGACGGTAATACAATTTGAAAACTTATTTTACTTTTAAAATACGCGTTATGACTTAGTCAATCATTAGTGAGTTACATTAACTTGTGACATTTGCAGTTTTTGTAGCCACCACTTCCGCTAGGATGCCTGGGAATGAAAGTGGCCACCACTCTAGGATATCCTGACACCGACGGTAATACAATTTGAAAACTTATTTTACTTTTAAAATACGCACAACGAGTTAGTCTTTAGTGAGTTATGGTAAGTTTAATTAATTTAAGTTAATTAGTAAGTTATGTTAAGTTGTGAGATTTAATTTTTTTGTGGCCAATACTCTAGGATGACCTGAGACTTACAGTAAATAAATATTCAAACCTTATTTCTCTTTAACAAAACAATGATTCAATCACATTCGTGATTTAAATCAAGTTTTACATAGATGATAGGACATCCGGTTTTTCGCAGTACATTCATCAAGATGCAGTCAGTAGTAAATAATATCTATAAGTCTTAGCAGCTTATTCACCGAAATGATGTTATTATTAAGGTATGCCAAGATTTTTTTAGATAAACTAGATGGTCGGAATTTAGAACCTTTGCATCTTATTCATTTGAACGATCGTTATTTTAGGGCACCTGGAAGGGTTTCTTGATAACGGCCTCTCTCTTGGACCGGTGGCCGCCCAGCATCAGAGAAGACTGGCCGTTGAAAACAGAAAGCTGGTGGCCTGGGTCGAGAAAATCATTCAGTTTCATTATTACGAGGATAAATTATATATATTAATATAATATAATATAAGATTCCTTGCGAAGAAATCTTTAATTACGGGTCGGAGCGGATATACGAGCTTCACACACAGGTTCAATATTCATAAAACACAATAATGTGTCAAAAAAGAATTGCGTGTGTGATTTCATAACATAGTTGTATTAGTAACGCATTAAGAATTTCTTAATTAGTTTCTTATTGCCAATACATTAACATCTACACATGAAGGCTATTTTCTATGCTCTTAGCTCCAGCGTACATCAGTCCCAGATTCAGTTGTTACATTTTACAAAAGTTAAATGTGTACATAGATGGGAGAAAAACGTTTTCGTCAAATAAATTGTTTTTTTTTAGATACACGAAACAAGTTCGGTGTCGTAGACAACATTTTCACGAATATTATGTAGGAAATGAAGGCAATGAAAAAAACGAGAACTAGATTTAAGTAAACTTAAGGGGACCGGCTACCCTAAAATGTTCAATTTTGGCGTTTTTCGGTTTTTGTGCTCATCTGAAAGCTGGAATTCTGCTCTTTCCAATGGTACCACTGCCATCGCTGTACGCCAATATTTACGTTCATGACGTCTCTTTAAAGGGAAGCGGGTGAGAGAGTTCTTTAAGTAATTAGATATAAAGTAATTAGCTGCTTTGAAAAGTTCAACTTATTGTCACGGAAAACCTATCTCCTCCTACAGTTTTCAAGCTACAGCAATGAGACATACACCATTCGATTCGTAAGGAAATTACCTAAAAATTTGATGATCATTTTTTTGAATTTCTGTCTGGTTCGTTTTTTATATGGGGGAGAACTGGGGGGAGGGGGAAAAAGTGAGAAAAATGGGATAAAACGCGCATAAAAAAAACTAAGGGGAAAATGAGAAAAGTGATCATCAAATTTTTAGGTATGGTCCTTACGAACCGAATGATACTTGTCTCGATGTTGTAGGATGATATTTGTAGGAGGAGATAGATTTTCTAAAGTACCCCTTTTTAGCCGTTTTCTATGAATTTCTCGTTTTCTATCAATTTTTTCGAAAAATTAATGGAAGCAAAATGTTCTTATTTTTACATTTTACGTATGTATGTGAAGTTTCATGATGATCGGATGATAACTGTAGAAGTTTTTCCTGAGGGTAGCCGGTCCCCTTAAATAAATGATTCTACATAGAGAGAACGTAAACAAAATAGGTCAATAAGAGTGAAGAGGCATGAAAAACAGAACTGATAATACTTCAAGAAAACAGAACGTTTTAAGAACTTTTGATCTCCATCTCATCATCGAACATTTAAGTAAATAAGGTTCTAAAAGTGGTGCAGCTATAATACTGTGTGCATTGGGATGCAAATTGTGCAACATTACCTGAAATGAAACCGAATTAAGTTATCTATTTCACTTGCCAAGTAATCAATGCCTGAACAAAAGCAGCAGCGATCCGATGCTCAACATGAAATTAAATAAGAAATAAGGTATAATGCGCAAATCAAATTAAAAAGAGCTAGAATACGTATGAATACTTTAATAAAATAACGTCTGTGCTTCAAAGGAAAAATGTTCCCTGAAAATACAATGTTACTGATAATGCAAGAATAATGTCAATTGCCTAAATGTAGCAATTTTAATGCCTCGTTAATAATTCTAATTCCTTATTTACAACTGTATTGCCTGATTTATGACTGTATTGCCAAATTTGTTACACAGAAATTCATAAATTGTGCATGAAAATAGAGCAAAAAGAAGTTCGAGCGGTGGCAAGATGTGAACAACATTCACACGAAGAAACGAGCAGCGCACAAAACTTGGGCTTCAAACCAGACTCTGTTACTAGAGACTTTTTCTTTTATTTTATCAATTATTACTTCAAGTTACCAGAGACTTGTTTGAGAAATTGCTCCAAAATAAAAAACATTGTTTAATCTCTTGGAAAACATCCAAGCCCAATGACTCCATCGGCCTTGGTACAATTTACACTGCTCTTCGAAAAATAAGAAAAGGTCTCTTAACAGAAAAGTTTTGGTTGCTCCTGAGCGTTCAGGCAGCGAAATTTCGTATCCAGACGGTGCATAAACAAAAACTTTGATGTACATTGGTGCGTAAAAACAAGTGCGTTGAGATAGGCAGCGAAATTTCGTATCCAGACGGTGCATAAACAAAACTTTGATGTGCATTGGTGCGTGAGAACAAGTGCGTTGAGGTGCGTTTATCAACTAATGCAACATGACCGTACCATAGAAGTATCGGGTGCGTAGTTTGGTCAGAAGACGTAAGTCCAGCGGCGTGAGCTCGTCTGAACGGTTAGAAGGTTAGTTTGGGAGTTGTAATCTTAACCGTGTAGCCTATTAAGAGTTGGAATGAATCAGTAGTTTTATTTAAACCCGTGTTAACCAATTTAATATGGCGTAATATGAATATCGCCAAATACATATGCCGCAATTAGATTTTTATCCAATTAAATATGCTATAATAAGCACCGAATCGATGCTTACTATCTCTACCACAAATCTAGTCTAGAACCTTGTTAAATATTGCAACTTTTCTGTCACCCCTGAATTACCCTCACCAAAAAAAAGAAGAAAATTACCCCAAAAGGAATTTATCCCCAGTTGGTCACTCGTTCATCTAAAACAATAAATTAGAAATCAAGCCTATGCAGGCCTATTCTTCAACGCCGGATATACTATATACTATACTAAGAATGCAGTAATTATCGACAGGCTGGAGTGAGTTATTCACTAAAATAATTGTAATGGCCAACTCTCTTCAGAAATATTAAGCAATAAGTCAAGTCGATAAACTCGAAACGTTACTTCCAATCTGCATGTAAGCCAAAACGTACCCCATTAAAATTAAAATCATTACCTCAAAAGATTTCCGGTTTTATTTTAGTACATTCTTCCTGTTGCAATGATATTTTTCATGCTATTACGATGCAATAAAATACAATAAGTGTAATAAATGAAAGTGAAATAAGTTCTTACCTTTAGGGTTCTTGCTGAGGACGTCGTAGTCATCCACCTGGAGGGTGGCGTTAGCGCCTGTGCGGACGAACTTCACGACGTGGTACAGCCCGTCGTTAACCTGCGAATTCATTATTTCACTATAGATTTTTTATGAATTGTAAAATAATTTACCATGAATTTTCAGCGAATAAATTCATTATTTCACTATAGATTTTTTATGAATTGTAAAATAATTTACCATGAATTTTCAGCGAATAATTCATTATTTCACTATACATTTTTTATGAGTTGTAAATAATTTAACATAAATTTTCAGAGCTGTTCAACTTTGATGATTAAACTAAACCACGATTTAGTTGATTTTGCAATTTTTATCCAAAATTCGATAGTAAAGTAATATTTAAGATGAAAAGTCCAAAATTTCAGCGTCTCTAATTTTCTTAAATTTTCATAACAAAAAGTAATCATATTTGGTCTACTCTTAGATATTTTCATAAGAAGATACCTTTAATTCAAGATCTAGTTATTCTCTACATTACTTTACAACTGCTCTCTATTTTTTAATACTTGCAACCATTTTCTATTTTTTACAACTATTTTCTTTACTGGAACAAAGAAGCGTTCAGAATTATCCCCGAAACGATGAATTCTAGCGATATTAACAACGTGAGTTGGGAAGTACAACTTAATATTCTTAAAATAAAAATTTGGTGACGTAAAAGCAGAACATTTGAGTAAAATATGAACTGGAAACAACAATAACTTCTTAATTACAAATTGCGTGGAAACTATTATTGCGTGGAAACTATTAACTATTATTATATTATATTAACTAACTATTATTGCGTGGAAACTATTAATTCCGAATAATTAATTAATTAAGATTAACATTTCAAACCTGAGCAACGGGTTCGGCAATAGGATGGTCTTCAGTGCCCATATTGTAAACCATCACAACCTTGCCGTCCACCTGTCCAAGTCAAATTATACAAATTATATAACATAATAATATACAAAATCATACCAATAATATAAATATAACAAATGTGCACTAGTTATGCATTAAATTGAGACAATTGAGATAATTTTAAAAGGGAATTAGGGTATAGTAAACTGGTAATTGCTACATTGTTAATTTATTATAGGCATTTCATACAGAGAATCATACGAATAGTTCAAGCAAGATAAACGAATAGTTCAAGCAAGAAAAAAGAACATGTATTAATTAAGAACATTGAGTTATACGCAGCTCGCCAAACAATTACGAAAAGTTATCGAAATTCAAATTTTCTATTTTCAATCTTTCATAATAATTAATTGCAGCCTCAATTCTCCGAGGTATTGAAGCATACAAATTATGAATTATTGCCTAAGGAATGCTAACTCATTCTTCAGTTAAAACTCCCTCCAGCTCTTTTACAGACGATGGTAGCGGGAATCGACTACTGACTGGTGATTGTGGTGGCTAAATAAGGTGCTCCATTTCATTAGACTGTTCCTCGTGCAATTTTTTCAGTAATTCCAGCTGTATAGATCGGGGACATTATCATCTTGAAAGATGGCGTTCCCTTGTTATAACAGTGCTTAAACCATTGGACGAACTTGGTTCTTTAAAATTCTTAAATGGTCTCGGCTGTTAATTCTTCCATGTAGAGAAATCATTGCTCCACCGGATTTCAAAGAAATATCACCCCATGCAGATCATCACAGATCCCTTCGCCATGTTTTACGGTTGTGAGGAGGCAGTCGGGATTAAATGACTATTTTGGCTGTCTCCACACGTAACCTCGGCCAGAGGTTGGAAATAATGTAAACGATGATTCGCCCTATAGAAAATTACATTTTTCCACGGCTCGACGGTTCCATTCTGGAGGTTTTTACACCACTCTAAACGCTTTGAAGAATTTGTAGTTGAAACCAGTTTTTTTTAATTGCAGCTCTTCCATAGAATTCAGATTTGTGCATTTCTCGGCAGACAGCCTTTATAGAAACTGTGTCCTGTAGGTGTCCATTGAGGTCTGCAGTAATTTTAACAACCGTGGTCTCTCGATTGTCCCTCACAACACGATTTAGGAACCGACAGTCTCTCTCATACAACTTTGACTTTCGGCCAGACCTGTACTTTGCCTGAGGACGTTTTTCCTTCTCTTTCAAAAGCAGTCATTACTTTTGAGATAGCACCTTTAGAAACGTCAAGCATTCGGGAAGTTTCTGTCACACTAGCACCTGCCATACTGGCGCCAACAATTTGGCCTCTTTGAAAGTCAGAAAGATTTGCCAGTTATGTGTTATAAGTTAGGTTATAGACACAAAAAATTACTAAAAATATCTGTCCATGGATAAAATATCAATTATCAACAACAATAAAACATAAAAACATATCACGTTTTCATTGTTTATAACATGTTCAAAAGTTACGATATCAAAATGTCAGGCGTTTCCCTCATTTTGACCAACCCCTATATATTATTCAATAATTAATTGGAAGAGCTAGGGAGGATTTGGATTAATTTAGATATTTTTCGAAATATTCACTCACCTTCTCTTTTATTCGACTCGTAACTGGAAGGATTAGCTAGAATATTGGCTATATTTTGCAATATTAGCTATATTTCGCGTTTTTCACCAATCACCTTTATTATTTGACTAGCAAATCGCAGGGTTAAATAGAATATTGATATATTTCTCACGTATTCACTCACCACTTCCACTCATCCACTATTATCTTGTATAGTTAGCAGCAACACTAGCTATATTATTCATTATATTTTCATTATATATTTACTATATTTTTATTATATACAGACCACTTCTAGCTCGACGTAGTCATTAGAGTTGGCGGAGTCTAGCCTAAGGAGCGTGGCGTCGTCCGTCTGTTTGGTCATGAAGCCGAGGGCGAGGAGGTCCTTATGTTTGTCCTGGTACTGGCCCTCGGGGTACTCGAACGTCACCACGCCCGTACCCTGACCGAACTCGTACGCCGTCGACTCTGGGTACGGGGAAATTAAATAAATTTAATCAGATTTCGATATTATATTTTTTATATTATATTTTATTATATATTATTTTTATATTATATTATATTAGTAATAGTCTTGGGCACGGGAAAATTAAATAAATTTAATGAGATTTCCATACTAATAAATAGCCTTAGGCACGGGCAGGGCCTGACCATCACTGCAGGAGCCTTACCATCACTGCTGGTGAGGCCACACCATCACTGCAGCGCCTCACCATCACTGTAGGGCCTCACCATCACTGCAGTGCTTCACCATTACTGCAGGTGGGGCCTCACCATCACTACAGACAGGACCTCACCATCACTGCAGGGCCTCACCATCACTGCAGATGGGGCCTCACCATCACTGCAGGGCCTCACCATCACTGCAGGCAGGGCCTCACCATCATTGCAGGCAGGGCCTCACCATCACTGCAGGGCCTCACCATTACTGCAGGACCTCACCATCACAGCAGGGCCTCACCATCACTGCAGGGCCTCACCATCACTGCAGATGGGGCCTCACCATCACTGCAGGGCCTCACCATCACTGCAGGTGGGGCCGGTGTAGGAGGTCATGTCACAGTTGCAGGAGTAGCTGTTCCACTGCTGCACGCACACACCGCCGTTACTGCACGCGTCTGCGCGGCACTGACTGCTGGGACCTGCGCGCCATATTGTCCATTACTCATACATTACAATACTCAGCCATTACAATACTCAGCCATTACAATACTCAGCCATTACATTACTCGTTCATTATTTTGTCAGGTTGTCACCGGCCAGAGCTGCTACAAGCTAACTAACGTTAGTTGAATCTACAGTTCGCTAATGTCAGGGGGCGAACACTTACAGCTCGAGGCCTTGACAATATATAAATGAATTTCAGGCAACTGTGCTTAGTCAATTACTACCTTCAATGCCGTCTGTAGCTGTAACTCTCCTAGCCATCGTCAGTATAAATGCCGGTTCAATGGCCATTGATAAAATCACGAGAAATCACTCTTAAAATAGTTTATTAACTCACACTCTTAAAATCATAATCTCACAGAACGATACTCACACTCATAAAATCGTAATATCACAGAACGATAAAATAATATATTCAACATCACTTTCATTTAAAATGATTATTTGCACCGGGTAAAATAGTCAATTAAGCTTCATCAATAATGGAGTTCAACAATTAAAACTGCACAGCAAGACACTTCTTATTGCAATAAATATTGCACATGGTAACAATTGTCAGCATAAAGTCAGGATAGCTACAAGCTGATTAAGCAACGACCGCATTGCTCCAGCACAGACAAGTCTCTGAACTAATAATAATAATAATAATAATAATAATAAATAATAATAATAACAGCAGTTTCAGCGTTTAGTAGGCCGTAGGCCTGTCGCCGATTCTTACCATCGCAGAACATCCACAGCTTGTTGCGGGATCGAACTTCGCAACTCACTGCTACAATTTTTGCATTGCTTAACCGTCCGGCCTCCTTGCCGATTCTGACCAGAAACTGGCGCACAGAGCTGGGATCGAACCCGCGCCTCTCTGCGCCAATCTTGGTACTATGAACTGTAACCACTGGGCCACCGTTCTGAACTAGACCAGACACGACCAGCCACAACCACGACCAGCCACAACCACGACCAACCACAGTCACGACCAGCCACAACCACGACCAGCCACAACCACGACCAGCCACAGTCACGCAGTTCACAAGTCCTAACGTAATGTACTTGGCGTGACTATACCATGCGTGCTACCTCGTAAATAGCGTAATTCATAGGGTCACATTAAAAATAGTACAGATGAATGATTAAAAAAACAAGTGATTTTGGGAATGACAGTTTCCTGTCGTTCACAAGGTGCTTGCTACTCCTGACATCAATCACACCCGTCACTGCTCACCATCACACTCCCTGCTCACCATCACACCCCCTGCTCACCATCACAGCCCTGCTCACCATCACACTCCCTGCTCACCATCACAGCCCCTGCTCACCATCACACTCCCTGCTCACCATCACAGCCCCTGCTCACCATCACAGCCCCTGCTCACCATCACAGCCCCTGCTCACCATCACAGCCCGTGCTCACCATCACAGCCCGTGCGGACGTTGCTGCTCCTAACGGGCACGTCGCGCCCCGCGGGGTCCGGCGCGTCGCCCTGCAGCTCCATGGAGGCCAGGCAGCCCTGGTACCCGCGCCCCGACACCACGTGGCGGGGCAGCGACGGGTACATCTCGGGGGGCACGCCTCCTGTGGGGACATGGGCATTAAGGGGGCACGCCCCCTGTAGGGACATGGGCATTAGGGTCAACGGGGGGCACGCCCCCTGCGGGTACATGGGCATTAGGGTCAACGAACCCTGTGGGTACATGGGTATTAGGGTCAACGAACCCTGTGGGTACATGGGCATTAGGGTCAACGGAACCTGTGGGTACATGGGCATTAGGGTCAACGGACCCTGTGGGTACATGGGCATTAGGGTCAACGGACCCTGTGGGTAAATGGGCATTAGGGTCAACGGACCCTGTGGGTACATGGGCATTAGGGTCAACGGGGGGCCGCCCCCTGTGGGTACATGGGCATTCGGATTGTTTTGTTTGTAAAATACAAAAGATTTTGGTCGATATAAAGAAGCTATTAAGAAGATTTAGAAACATATGCTATAAAAATAATATTAAAAATATTCTCTTAAGAACATACAACATGGATGCAAATGCTGTATCGTAAGTCTAAAGGAAAATATTATGTTAAATTGAAGAAAGATCAGAATAACAGAAAGAAAATGACGTATTTGGAAATGCCAAGGAAGATTATTGGCATAAATATGTATGATAAGATAAATGCTGTTAGTTAGGAGGAATGAATCGATGTATTGTCGGAATTTGAATGTAGTTAATGAAGTTTAATGTGAATGTAAACATTGGTAATTTGTGGTACAGAAAAACATATAATTTCGAGTGGGGTGAGAGAGATCTCACCAAGGTTTAAGATAAATCACCAAATTGAGTGGGGTGAGAGGAAACCTACCAAAGTTTAAGATGAATCACCAAATTAAGTAGGGTGAGTTGCAAGATAAATCAGCAAATTGAGTGGGGTTGAGAGGAAACCTACCAAAGTTTAAGATAAATCACCAAATTAAATAGGGTGAGTTGCAAGATAAATCAGCAAATTGAGTGGGGTTGAGAGGAAACCTACCAAAGTTTAAGATAAATCACCAAGATAAGTAGGGTGAGTTGCAAGATAAATCAGCAAATTGATTGGGGTGAGAAGAAACCTACCAAAGTTGAAGATAAATCACCAAATGAAGAGGGTGAGTTGCAAGATAAATCAGCAAATTGAGTGGGGTGACTTATAACCCACCAAGATAAAGGTATCCCTGCAAGTCGATGTATCGGTTGCTGCCTGTGCTGGTGACGATGGCGGTGTCGTCATCCACCATGAGGGTGTGGCGGTGTGCTGAGGGCCGCCCCACCGTCACTGAGTGCCACTGATTGTCATTAAGCGCAGTCTTGGACGAGTCCCGTAACTGGATCGGACCGCTGCCCAGGTTGAATACCAAGTGGATGTGGCCGTTGACCAGCTCGATGGCCAGGAAGTCGTGGCCTGTCATGGAAAGTGCTGTCCATTATAAAATTCTCGAAATCGCGAGAAAAATATAAATAAGTAATGGGAATTTTATCTTAAATGGATGTGGCCATTGGCCATGACCAATTCGATGGCCAGGAAGTCGTGGCCTGTCATGGAAAGTACTGTCCATTATAAAATTCTCGAGATCGCGAGAAAAATATGAATATAAGGAAGGAATTTTATCTTAAAAGGATGTGGCCATTGGCCAACTCGATGGCCACAAATTTATGGCCAATAGATATAAAATTTATATCCACAAATTTATGGCCAATAAAAATATAACTCAGTACTCCTCACTGCAGTGAGTAACAGAGCGCGCATGTTCTCGTCGACGAAAACGTGAAGTCACGGACGGACGGACGGACGGACATAACGAGCACAATAGCGCATTTTTTCCATAAATGAGAAAATGGGCTAAAAAGTGTATCGCATTACGGAGAAAGTCAAACTCATTTCTGCTAGTGATTACTTGTCGGCCATTACGAAGCACTCGAGACCACGAGAACAGTCATCATGAATTTCATCTCAAATAATGAATGCGCATTAAAATTATAATATCGCCGAAACTAAGCTTTCCATCATGATAGCATTTAAGTATTGAAAGCCATCATTAGTGGGAAAATGGGCTTCAATGTCAAATGGAGGATAGAAATGGGCTAAAAAAATCAATATATGGGCAAATACAGCATAGTTCAAAGGACCATAAATGAGAAATATTCAACAATTAAACACCAATCAAGAAGCAAATATGGATCTCTGTAACAATATACATTAGCATTGTTGAAAATGCAGGATTGTAGAAAGAAGCTAATGGAAATGGAGCTAATGGGACGGATGGAGAAAAGGTAGAAATGTTACCACCTTTTCCAGCGTTGTACATGATAATTCCTGAAGCCTGGATGGTCTTGAACTGGAAGTAGATGTCCATGAAGGCGTAGGATCTGAGTTGTGGCAGAGCAACGAAGGCCGTGGTGGTCTTGAAGGACACGGGATGATGGACGGTCGGACGAACCGTGCCGAACTTAGCCGTAACCTGTAAACATTTATTTAGGTTTACCGTTAATTGTTCATGAGGTCACACATGCAGTCTTACTTACACAATGAGAATGTTATCATTGAAGTTTGATAAGCATGAAAGTAAAAAATGAAAATACTCAACATATTTGTTTCCTCTCAACTATATATTTAAAAATGTATAAGTTAACAAGAAGGATCAATTTACCCCAGTAAATAACGAATTTATATTTCGAAATTAGGTGATGTAATGAGAGTAATGAAGCATTGTGGAAGTCATGAAACTTACAAATGAATTGCTCTCAATCATCGCGAACATTATTTTCATCAGACACGAATAGGCTAATAACAAAAACGTGTTCAACGCTAGCCAACACCTGGAACACACATCAACACTCACCTGGACACACCAACACTCACCTGGACACACCAACACTCACCTGGACACATCAACACTCACCTGGACACACCAACACTCATCCTGGACACATCAACACTCACCTGGACACACCACCACTCACCTGGACACCATCAACACTCACCTGGACACATCAACACTCACCTGGACACACCACCACTCACCTGGACACATCAACACTCACCTGGACACACCAACACTCACCTGGACATAAACACTCACCTGGACACCATCAACACTCACCTGGACACATTAACACTCACCTGGACACCATCAACACTCACCTGGACACCATCACTCACCTGGACACACCAACACTCACCTGGACACATCAACACTCACCTGGACACCAACACTCACCTGGGCACCACTACTCACCTTGACACATCAACACTCACCTGGACACCAATACAACACTCACCTGGACACACCAACACTCACCTGGACACCACCACTCACCTGGACATCAACACTCACCTGGACACCACCACTCACCTGGACACCACCACTCACCTGGACACCACCACTCACCTGGACACACCACCACTCACCTGGACACCACCAACACTCACCTGGACACCACCACTCACCTGGACACACCACCACTCACCTGGATACACCACCACTCACCTGGATGTCAGGCATGTGGCCACTCCTGGCCTGCTCGAAGACCTCGAGGCCGTTGATCATGAGGCTCTGCATGTCCCCCACGAAGGGCGCCACGGAGCTGTGCAGAGGACCTCCTGGTCTCGTATCCTCCAAGGATACAACGTTCGAGGAGGTCATCGAGCTCATCAGCCAGTCCATCGTCGAGTTTGGGACATGACCCACGTATATGTTTTGGTAGCGAATCACGTCGCGGTTTGATATGATGTGTCCTAAGATAGTAACATATGTGGTTATTATGTACTGCCATATAAGGCTAATACATCACATTACATAAGCCTAATACACACCACCACATAAGGCTAATACATCCCACCACATAAGGCTAATACACACCACCACATAAGGCTAATACACACCACCACATAAGGCTAATACACACCACTACATAAGGCTAATACATCAGAATATACAGAGCTTTAATCTCTGTATCCCAACTCGGTTCGCTATGATGTGTCTTGAGACATCAACACATAAGGTTAATTGTGCGAATATGATGTGTTGTGGATGGTTAGCCCTGGTGTATTGGCAAATGGTTACGATGGTCACAATGGTCGTAACCGTTGTCGTAATTGTCACAATGGTTACGATGGTCACAATGGTTACGATGGTCACAATGGTTACGATGGTCACAATGGTTACGATGGTCACAATGGTCGTAACTGTTGTCGTAATGGTCACAACGGTCACAGGGCAGGAACAGTTCTCACGCGTCACAGGATGCTCGGTGTCGAGCTGTACGGTGAGGGCGGAGGCGCGTCTGAAGTAGCGCAGCCGGTGCCAGCGGCCGTCGTTCAGGTTGTGGCCAACATGAACTTCCTACAGTCAATAATAATATTAAAAATATTATAATAATACTACTAATCCATTATAATAATAAGGCAATATAATATTGATACTACTATATAATAATAATAAGTGCACAATTAAAATACAATATTCTCAATATAAATATGTATTTCCGTCAGTAACATAATTATTTCAATCACAGAATCCTGCCAAATATTGGCAGCGAAAAAATCATGAATGGAAAAGGGTAAATGTATTTTGTAAGTATGACTTTTGAAGCAAATATTAATTGAAAAAACATAACGATAAAATATTTATTATATAAAAAGTCCAAATCGTAAATCTGCAAGTGATGAATAAAATTATTATTGTAAATACTGTTTCAATTAAAATAAGTTACCTATATTAAGCCTTGCTAGGGTCTCACCTCAACCCTGCCCCTTACATCAAGCCTTGCTAGGGTCTCACCTCAACCCTGCCCCTTACATCAAGCCTTGCTAGGGTCTCACCTTAACCCTGCCTCCTACATTAAGCCTTGCTAGGGTCTCACCTTATCCCTTCCCCCTACATCAAGCCTTACTAGGGTCTCACCTTAACCCTGCCTCCTATTTTAAGGGTTGTTCGTATCTGTCCCCCAATAAGGGCCATCTCGATGGTGTCATCCATGAGGCTGGACGTGGGTGAGGCGGGTGAGGCGGATGAGGCGGGTGACCAGGTTCTGAGCAGGAGACCTGAGGCGTGAGTCGTGCTGAACCTGAGCGTAATCTGCTCAGCCTGACTGGCGTCCTCCCTGGGCTTGGTGATGTACAGGCCTTGGCTGCCGTTGAAGTTCAGCGTGGCAGCGTCTAGGTAATTATACAAGAATTATTTTTAATGCATTTATAACGATTATTTAATGATTACTGAAAAATTATTGTTTCACTTAATTATAAATAATAGCGGTTGCAGCGTTCATTAGGACGTTAGTCCTTTCGCCGAATCTTAACATTTTCGTGATGAAGTGCGCGTTTACAAGAATTGATATTTACATTTCAGATCAATTTAGTAAGGGCTATGAGTTTATTTCGTCACATGTTACATAGAAATTAGATAATTTTGGACTTGATGCACCTAGATAAAAGTATTCAATTAATAGTGATTTAAATTTAATGATTTGATATTTTGTAGTTCAACGTCACTGCAACGTTGCTAATCAAAAGAAAACTCATATCATAAAAACATCTAAATTAATCTTCTACCTAATATGGGCAATAAAACTTTAAGTTGCGTAAAAACATGGACAACCAAACCTAATTCGATCTTATTTAGATTTCAGTGGAAAATATATACGACTAATAAAATACCAAATAAAAAAGCATAACCAATTTCTTTGTCTATGAAAGCATCTTCAATTTTGAGCCCAAATGGAATTTTTGCACGAAGTTAAAACGATCAAATTTTAGAATAATTGAAAATTCAACGCCATCGGCAATTAGATATGTTAATAAATCTACGGTAACTTCATCGAACATTTTATTTACAAACTAGTTTAGCTTCTAGCTCTATAATACGTATATAAAAATAAATAATGTACGTACTCTATTACTGAATAAAATGAGAACATATACAGTAATTCTAATGCCAAAGAATCAATCACTGAAATCATTAATAACATTTAAAACTCACATTGGGCTGAATATTTCTATATTCAATTCATCCTTGCATTATAAATGCTTTAAATAATTTAATTCGTACTTTCTTTCTGAAACTCAATATTTATCGAATACTTTTCCAGAAAATGAATTAATTTCCACAGAAATTTCTTATTAAAACGCAATATTTTAACATTAATCGAATATTTTCTAAAAAATCAAATGAGTTTGAAAACAGTAACCGCTTATTAGTCGATTATTTCTATCTTGATCGAATTTTTTGTATACTTCTTTGATAATAATTTATATACTTGAATGAGTTTGATGAGAACTCACTTTTGCCATCATAAACTTTATTGATGTAATAATATTCTCATATAATTAAATAAGTTTGATGAGAACTCACTTTTGCCATCATAAAATTTATTGATGTAATAATATTCTCATATAATTAAACAAGTTTGATGAGACTCACTTCTGCCACCATAAACTTTATTGATGTAATAATAATTTAATATAATTAAATAAGTTTGATGAGAACTCACTTTTGCCATCATAAACTTTATTGATGTAATAATATTCTCATATAATTAAATAAGTTTGATGAGAACTCACTTCTGCCACTATAAACTTTATTGATGTAATAATAATTTATTATAATTTAATAAGTTTGATGAGACTCACTTCTGCCACAAGTTGGCCCCACGAAGGCGGTGTTGGTACAGTCGCACACAAACCTCCCCCAGCCCTGCGTGCAGGAGCCGCCGTGCAGGCAAGGATCGCTCTCGCAGGATCCCCCGTCGTTGTGGCACATCTGCAGGATTGAGCCTGCAAACACAATAATATTATTATATTATTATTATATAATAAATATATATATATAATATGAATATTATATTATTATTATATGTAATATGTATATATATAATAATATATGCAACCAAATTAAGCTTATTTCTATGTAATAGTTTTTCTCAGGCTTTTTCTCATAGATTTTTATATGAAGACATATAAAAATTCATGACAAAAGTCCTACAGGAAAAATAAGTTAAATGTGTACTTTAATATTAATCAGTCACAGGAATTTATGAAGACGAGCTTCTTTTCCTGTTTTAAGATAATACGGTAACTCAAATACTTATGAAAAAATTAACAGATTTTGATAATGTATTTTAGCTCATATTTACATCACGAAATTCAACTAACCCGAATCCTGTTTTTTGGCGTAGGATGCCAGGTCGATGGCATGTCCGTTAAGGACGAGATCCCTCATACATCCAACGTATCCTTTCTTGAGCCGCCCCATCCACAGCTCTGGAGGAACTCTCACTCCATCCATCGTCTCCGCGGACCCTATCCCTCCTACGTAAAGGTTCCCGCCCAAATCCAGCTGATTGGAGTCGCCTGGTCGCGTGGAATGGAAAATATTTATATTTTCTTCCTAAATATTTAGGTTGTCTTCCTAAATATTTATGTTTTCTTCCTAAATATTCATTTTTTCTTCCTAAATATTTATGTTTTCTTCCTAAATATTCATTTTTTCTTCCTAAATATTTGTTTTCTTCCTAAATATTCATATTTTCTTCCTAAATATTCATGTTTTCTTCCTAAATATTCATGTTTTCTTCCTAAATATTCATGTTTTCTGCCTAAATATTTATGTTTTCTTCCTAAATATTTATATTGCTTCATTGATTGATGGTATTGAACACGTTGAATAATAATTGGTAGAAAATTCAAGTGTTTATTATTTTCGACAAATGTATGTGCGTCCAGCTGATTGGAGTCACCTGGTCGCATGGAATGGAAAATATTTATGTTTTCTTCCATGATAAATGGGAACTAACATGTTGAATAAGAATTGGTAGTAAATTCAAGAGTTTGTTATTATAGACATGTGAATGCGCTTCTACCTGCTGAAAGTCACCAGGCCACGTGGATTGAAAAAGTACGCATTAGTTTATTTCATTAGCGCTGGTCATTGACACGTTGACTAAGTATGGGTACACAATTCAAGGAAATTATTACTATCGATATATTATTATCGAAAGCTGTGCACTTTCCATAAGGATCGGAGACATTAGATCAGGGCCTATACTTTCAAAAAAAGTTAAGAGATCGTAAGTTCATCAGCCAATCATTGACGGCCTTTCAAGCAAAATCCACCAATCATAGACAAGAAAATAGAGCGTAAGTACTTACATTCACTTAGCGAGTTTTGAAAGTATGGCCCCTGGCTGATAATTTAGGAACTCAATTCTATTGGCTTGCACTGTAGTGGTGCAACAGGCAAAACTTGGCAGAGTCAGTTATTACCGACGTAATTTTGGGCAAATAAAATTGAAAACAAAGTAAAACTGAAGGCTTTGCAATTTTGAACTTGCCTTACGATTGTGAAGTCCTATACGACGTGGCTGGGTATCGTGACCTATCTAAGTATTCTGACCTTGCATGGTATCCTGACCTAGCCAAGTATCCTGACCTAGCCAAGTATCCTGCCCTAGCCAAGTATCCTGACCTGGCATGGTAAAGTCCTGCACGATCTCGTCTACGGCCACGACGCCCTCCCTGCCGTCGCGGCTGTAGGAGATCTCGTGCCAGCGCGCGTCGTCCACGCGCCTGATGGTCACCTTAACCTTGTGGGCGCCTGAGCCGAGGTTCAGGTGGAAGTAGACTTGCCCGTCCATCATTTCCAGCGCGAAGAAATCACCCTGGAAATTAAAAGTTATTTTATACCCTAAATAAATGCCCCATAACACAATTAGAGAATCCTAGTCATTTTCAGGGCGAAGAAATCACACTGGAAAATTAAAAAATATTTATACCTTAAATAAATGTCTCATAAGGCAATTGGAGAACCCATGTCTATCCATCATTCATAAATAAAAAAATGAATTATATTATTTTTGCTCTACAATGTTACTCTATACGTACGCTAGGGAGGGAAACGAGGTCTGTTCATCATTTCAAAACAAAAATCCCCCAGTCAAGTAAAAAAGGATTTTGTGTTTTTCATTATTGCTTCAGGAGTTCATAAAAGAGCACTTTTCTGTTTATCATTTCAAAGGCAAAAAATCACCCAAAAAATCAAAAGTCATATAATATTATGTCCCTAAGAGAATCGTTGTCTGTTCATCCTTTCCAGGGCGAAATCCTGCTCTTTGTAAAAAAGATGATACTTTTAAGTGATATGTTTTGCCTTCAAAGCTGAGTGTATGTTAAACTAATGAAACGAGAATTGTTTTCTTTCATCTTTTTCAAGCAGAAAGAAATTTAAAGTTAAATATTTAACTTGAAATTTTATAACCAGAGCAGATTTTATAACCTCAAAAACGGTTTCAGAAAGAATCAAATTTAATTTCATAATTGTGCTTGCAAAAAACCGTGGTAATCTTTAAAACTTTCATCTTTAAACGCTATCAGCGCAGCGTAAGGAGGAATTGACGAATATTCTAACTTCATTTTTCCATATTTCTATAATGATTTGATTCTATAATGAATTTTATTAAGTTAAGTCAACTAAATTACTTTCGGTCACCTTGACGGTGACAGTTCATCTTTATTTTTCCGTGTTTCTACAATGATTTGATTCTATAATGAATTTTATTAACTTAAGTAAATTAAATTCATTTTGGTAACCTTGGCGGTGACAGTTCCCCCTTATTTTTTCCATGTTTCTACAATGATTTGATTCTTTAATGAATTTTATTAAGTTAAGTCAACTAAATTAACTTTTGGTCACCTTGACGGTGACAGTTCACCTTTATTTTTCCAGGTTTCTACAATGATTTGATTCTTTAATGAATTATATTAAGTTAAGTCAACTTAATTCTTATTTGTCACCTTGGCAGTAACAGTCCCAGGGTTGTACATGAGGAGTCCGTCAGGCTCGGAGGTGCGGAACTTGAAAGCCAGAGTGCCTTGATTGAGGGCGGTCCAGGGGGGCAAGATCTGTGCAGAAGAAAAAAGAAATACTTCATTAACTGACATATAATAAATATCTTAGTAATTGATGCATAACAAATTTGTCAGTAATTTATATATATTGAAACTGCCTTGGTTGAGGGCGGTCCAGGGGGGCAAGATCTGCTCAGAAAAAAAACAAGCAAAATACCTCAGTAATTGACATATAATAAATATCTTAGTAACTGGTACATAATAAAATGCTTAGTAATTAATATATAATTAAACTTGACCTGGAAACATGAAAAGTGATTCGTGATCGTCGCGAAGAAAAGCTGTTAGACAAACTGCACTGAAAAAGGTCACGTCAGGGATATGACTCTGAAAAACATGGAGGTCATCCAATTACATAGGTAAGAGATTATTAAAGCGAATAATATTCCTGTGCCTGGAACATGAAAAATTATACAAATTATTTATTTTTGACCACCATCAGACGCACCTGTGTGAAATATTGTCCAGCATACGTTGCAAACAAGCATAAAATATACAATAGATACTAAATAAATTATTCGTTAGGTGCGGAGTAATTACACGGTGTATACATAAAAGAGTATGTGCGCAAAATAAAATACACGGTATTTACGGAAGAAAGTGCATGGTATGTACTGAAGGAAACAGTACAAAAATCTTCAGTATATGATGAAAAATGGAAAATTTGACCCGAAAAATCATATGCATCGTTTCGCGCTAGTATTAAACATGAGCATCTGAAAAATCCCAATGGTCACGAACCTCGATGTAAAGGCGCTGTTAATAAGTAACAACATCTATTAATAAATTAATAAATGTCAGACTTTCCGTAGCTGGATGACAAACCTAATTGAAGAAATACTCTCTTTACGGAGTGATATATAGGTAGGAAGATTCCTATTCCTTCGATTACATTTTAATGTTCTTTGTCATAGAACAACGAGATGACGTAGATAGAGGAGGTTTCCGGGCAAAGAAATGACTGGATTTGACCACCTAACTTGATTTTGATGTTAGTGACGGTACTCTGATATTAACAGGCAAAATAAGGAGGAAAACATTTCTAATCAATTGAAGAAAATTGAATATAATGATACATTAAGTTGATTGTGATACAGATGGCAGTTATTTTCATGAGATCCTTATTACTCGTATTTATTGTTGTAGTAAATAACAGCAGCTGTTTTATGCTTCATGAAAAACTGCACATATAGCTTTTCTATAATGGGTTGAATCTTGGTTTATTGTACTATCAAACTTTTAACATTGTCAAATGCGAGCAGAGGTACGACATCAAGCAACTCTCAAACATTCCGAAACCAATACAATCCCTTCATGAAACTAAACATTAGATTACATTTTGTTTAGCCATTTATAGTGAAACTTTAATTGTTTCCGCGTTGTGTCAGCTGGACGAAGTAAGAAGAGTGAGGCCAGGAAGAGTTTTCCGTACATAAAGCCGGTGACCAACACAGAAAACGCATCCATCTCATACACGCACATATGAAGTCTATAGAGAATAGCCCAGTTAAGAAATTGCACGTGATTCTACGCATAGCAGCGAAACTTGTTAAACGTGAAAACGAGCATCGAAACTCGTTATATGTAGTACACACGCGCATCGAAACTCTCTATTTGTATATTAGAAGTGAGCATCGGAATTCTCTACACGTACAAACGACTAACGAGGATATAAACTCGTTAGACGTACGAAAAATCATCAAAACTTGTTCTCCGTACAAACTAGCATCAGTCGTAAAACGTAGAAACGAGCATAGAACCTCGTTACTTATTTTGCAGTGCATCAAATGGGAACAATTTATCAGTGCATCAAATGGGAACAATATTGCAGTGCATCAAATGGGAACAATTTTGCAGTGCATCAAATGGGAGCGATTTTGCAGTGCATCAAATGGGAACAATTTTGCAGTGCATCAAATGGGAACAATTTTGCAGTAGATCAAATGGGAACAATTTTGAAGTGCATCAAATGAGAACAATTTTGCAGTTCATCAAATGAGAACAATTTTGGAGTGCATCAAATGGGAACAATATTCCAGTGCATCAAATAGGAACAATTTTGCAGTGCATCAAATGAGAACAATTTTGCAGTGCATCAAATGGGAACAATTTTGCAGTGCATCAAATGGGAACAATTTTGCAGTGCATCAAATGGGAACAATTTTGCAGTAGATCAAATAGGAACAATTTATCAGTGCATCAAATGGGAACAATATTGCAGTGCATCGAATGGGAACGATTTTGCAGTGCATCAAATGGGAACAATTTTGCAGTGCATCAAATGAGAACAATTTTGAAGTGCATCAAATATGAACAATTTTGCAGTGCATCAAATAGGAACAATTTTGCAGTGCATCAAATAGGAACAATTTATCAGTGCATCAAAAGGGAACAATATTGAAGTGTATCAAATGAGAACAATTATGCAGTGCATCAAATGAGAACAATTATGCAGTGCATCAAATGGGAACAATATTGCAGTGCAAATTCTTATGAGAAATTCATTTAACCTTAAATTATTGCTGAATTAATTTAGATATAAAAAGGTAATGATAATATTCAAGATATAACAGCTGTAAGTAAAGGAAATACCAATTTAATGGTTAATAATAAATAAAAGCAATACTTTTCCAGATGAATTTCCGGTCATAGAGTTATGCCCGTACATCGAAGAAAAATTTTGCCAGTTCTGAGCGTAGCACTAAAAATCATTGGACTAGCGCGATCTTACACTTGCATTTTTATAGATATTTGGTGGATGTATGAAGACAATACAGAACGAGTGTTCATAAGGTGCTAAATTTAATTATTATATAATAATTACAACTGCAGTAGTGTTCATTCTAGAACAAAGTTCCATGCTTGTTCAATTATGTTGGTTTCTGCTCGAAACGTACAACAATACAGTTTTCCGTCGACCTGGTCCAAAATCAATAGCTTTTTTCTAACTTCGTTTCGGGATCAGAATTCATTAACTCCATAAGAAAAACGAACGAAAAATAGCGTTCTTTCAATACGGTAAGCACGATGCTTTTAGCCAAATTATTTGTTTGGGAGGAATTTGGTGTACTTAGAAAGAGCGATTTTCCCTCTGGAGTTGACAAATTAAATTGGACAGCGAGGGCGGGGCCTCGGAGTGCGAGCAGTGAGCTCAGTCGGGAGCTGGACTCCAAAGTCAACGGAGGAGTGTCAATGAAGTCTTTCATTTCTACAGTCCAAAAACGATAACATTTTCTACAATAAAGTATAACTACAAGTTTTTTACAACCAACATATACAATTTTTATATTATAACCATGAAAATTTTGATGAATCACGAGAATGGCATTGTAAGCTAGATAGCCAAAGGTGGGCGAGTAATCCAGGAAGATCGATTGATATATTCACGCCTAGGAAAGAAATGCTCGGGCTAGAGCCTTCCATTGATTTTGTCGCGTATAATATGAAAAATAATGAAGACAAAAACGACTTAACTTCCAGCGGAAGTCACAGGAGCCAAGATACATAAATTTCATTAGAAGTCGAGCTTTGAGAGCAACTCCATACCCTTGCCGAGTCAGCAACTTTAAAATGGCTGAAAGCTTCTCTGCTATTTCAGCTTCATGAATTTATAATGAATTGCTAAGGGATAAACGATTGAAAACCATAGTTTGCCACAGTTCCACAGAAGGAAACTCATGCAGAATTAAAAGGACAATTAATTCCATAGAATTAATACCGATGCGGACCAGGAATATTATGAATATTCTCTACTTGTTAATTCTCAATTAATTTTAAGTGAATTTATAATCTGTCGGGATAATCAAAATGCAAAACATTCTGATAATCCTCATACATGTAGTTGATGAAAGGATTTTTTACTGCTGGTTATTTTTAAAAACCAGTGAATAAATTTAATGACTTCATTCACACAGATATAATGAAGAGATGCAATACCAGACAACAGAGCGTTTATTTTTCGAGCTTTTATGAATGATTTTTAGTAACCGAACGACTGACGAAAAAATCTTAAAAACTATCATGACAAAATTAAATAAAATGAACTGGCAGAAAAAATCTACTTCTTCGTAAAAAGTTCCAAAATTTAGTCACATCAAGTATTATAATTAAGGAAAAACTTCATCCAATTATAACTGTAAGCTATTCGAAAAGAATAAAAGGGTTATTTCCAAGCCAATAAATAACGGGGGAGTTTGAGAAATATAAAGAGGATTTATATAATATATAAATGAGGGGAGTTTTCAGAGATTTTCTTAATTGGAAAATTTGATCGTCGGGTTTTTGGCAGCCATTTAATGAACGAGGATCGAATACCCCACCCATTTCCATAAAAATAGGCCATAATTTTCTACCGGGGAGAACTTATATTCCAAAATATTATATCAGTACTCACTGAAATGAGTGACAGAGAGCGCATTTTCTCGTCCGTCCGTGAAGTCACGGACAGACGGACATGACGAGCACAATAGCGCCTTATTTTCATGAATGAGAAAATGCGCTAAAAAGGTAGAATTTCAGTATTCAGGGTTGTACTTTATTTGTGGCCTTCATGTATAGGAAATTCATTCAAACTGGAAAAATTTACTTTTCCGATCAACGGTTCAAAATGGTTATGTAAATTCTCTGCTCTGAAATGAGGTAAAGATCAACGGTAGGAGATTTATGTTGAAGCTTTAAATGTGCATGTAAGATACTCTATATCGGCAGGAAATTGTTTGGAAATTTGAGCTACACGAGTAAAATTATGCAAATTGATGTGAAAAGTATCAATATATCTGTGTGGCTTTAATGAAAAAAAAATATATATATGAATTAAGGGTGAACAATCCGGGTCAACTTAAACATTAATATTTGCTATTCATCCTAAAGCTACAAAAAAGTCCGACTACCACAGAAAAAAAACTATCACGAAATTAATTTTGACATAAAATGAAGTGAAACTTAATTGTAATTAGATTAGATCCTAAAGAATCGGAGTGATGAAATCTCGAGTTGAGCTAGCAACAGGTCGTGAATTTTATACGTGTGTCAGCTTTATACGTGTGTCAGCTTTATACGTGTCAGCTTTATACGTCTGTCAGCTTTATACGTGTGTCAGCTTTATACGTGTGTCAGCTTTATACGTGTGTCAGCTTTATACATGTGTCAGCTTTATACGTGTGTCAGCTTTATACGTGCGTCAGCTTTATACGTGTGTTAGCTTTATACGTTAGCTTTACACACGTGTCAGCTTTCCCTATCGGTTAATTGCAGCCTCAAAATCGCGCTTGATTACCCAGTACATTATTCATCAATAAGGACAGTAATAGAATTGCAATGAAGCTCAGGAGTTCATTGCTTTGGTTTGTACTAATGGTGATGTGTTATATTTGTTGATGTAAACGCTGTGTAGGCGGTTCAGCTAGGTGATGCTGCTAGAGATGATGAATATAGTGCGGGAAGTTCTTACGTCTCTGGTCAAAAAGAGGAAAGAGAGAAGTGAGAAAAAGAAAGAAAGATAGAGAGAGAGAAAAAAATAAGTTCAAGATTATTTAGTGCAGTAGGAAGGTTAATAATTTGGGCAACGTGGACAACGAAATCAAATCAAAACTAACTTGTTCACGAGACAAAAACGTAACGAAAGTCGTGCAATCGTAAAAAATAAGGTGTATTTCTTCAACATCGCAATTTTCGATTTTTCTTGAACTGAAACTGTCAAGAAAGTGGAGAACATAATTGATTGAACCCGAATTTCTTTTTTTAACACTCCATTTCACTGCCGCGATGAAAGCATTATATGAGTCCATTAATGTTTCAACATTGGAAAATATTTCTACAACATTCGAGGAGCCAAATAAAGAAAATTAATCAGATTTAACCCCTCTGTTTCGGGAGGGTCGTACGTTTTCATAACAGCACCGAATAAAAAGTTCCAGATATTGAATTAATGTGTAGGTACTGATTGGGAAAAAACGCAGTCGGGATTACAAAGAGTGTTTTTCCGTATAATTTACAGATAAATGAAGCGTTATTAGAACTTCACAGAATATTCGAAAGCATGACGAAGAGAAAACAATATCGAGGGTGTGAAGTAGCCGCGAAATTGAGTCAGAATGTATAGGTTTTTTGTTTCATAACCGTATGAAAGTGCGTGCGTAGCGTAAGATACTTGACATACTTTAGTGCGTAAAATATTTGCGAACGTAAAAAAACACTTGTCATACTTCATAAAAAACGATTATTGTTATTGTAATCGAGATTTGTGTTTTCCATTGATGTTAGGCAAATTTCAATTCAAACAAGTTATGTTCCAAGCAAAAGCTTAGTTTTTTTACAATTAGATCGCTTTTTTTGCGCAAAATGAGTAATTTGTAAATTATACACAAATTTAGATTTGTATGTTGCAATGTAAATGCAATTCAGAGGATTAAAGAGTGCAAAACACGTGGCCAGATGTATGTTTTGAAAACATTCAAGTTCGGTTGCAATTAAGGAAAATAACATTAATATGGACACGTAATACATACACTTGGCCACGAGCAGTATAAATCATTCAACTAGCTGAAGATACAGTACACAAGTGCGCGTTATAAATAAGTGCATAGAAACGGTGCAGAGATCTTAATAAGAGTTAGTTATGATGATGCAAGTGATTATTTAATGCAAACACACGGTGCAAATATTGCAATACAAGATATTTATAGTAAATACACGTGAAAAAGTGCCAGTTATTAGCAAGTGCCAACATTCGGTGCAGGATTTGAGCCAGACAAACTAGCACGGGACGTTACCAAGGTGGCGCTAGGCTGCAGGAAATTGACCACGCCATCGCCGGGACCATCCTGTGGGAGCAAAGTTAGTACGTCAAATGGGGGGTAACTCAAAAATATGTGGCTTTGTGTAGGGCAACATGTATGTGGTGTTGAAAACCTCAAAAAAAGTTGATGTGAGTAGGCAACATGAATGTGGTGCTGAAAACTAAAAAATATGTTGATATGAAGAGGGCAACATGAATGTGGAGTTGAAAACTGAAAAATATGTTGATATGAGGAGGGCAACATGAATGTGGTGTTGAAAGCTAAGAAAAAATTGATATGAGTAGAGCAACATAAATGTGGTGTTTAAAACTCAAAATATGTGGTTTTGTGTAGGGCAACATGAATGTAGGTTGAAAACTCAAAAATATATGGCTTTGTGTAGGGCGACATGAATGTGGTGTAGAAAATTTGTGCATGCGGTGTTGAATACTCAAAAATATGTTGATATGAGTAGGTTAACATGAAAGCAATGATATGTTGGTAACTCAAAAATGCAGGAGACATGTATAAAGAAATAAAATGTTAGGAATTGAAAAGCAGGTAATGTATGTTGAGGATTGATAACAAATGCGAAATAAAGGGGAAGTTAAACCAAATATAATATTGAAATTAGACAATAATATTCAGGATGTCGCTTAGAAGTCTAGTGGGCAACTTACGAATTCAGGAATTACCAACAAATATTGTCAACTATTGTAAATGAGTACGGAAACATAGGAAATTCACGCGACTCTCACATCTGCGAGAGCCGGTTGAATAAAGACGTGACTTAATACCTTGTCCACGGATATGTTAACAGTATTCAATGTTATTCCTGCCTAAAACTCAAGCGATGAAAGTTACCATTGGCAGATAAAAGTTAACCTTTCGTTTACGGATACATTAACCGTCGTCAATGATATTCGTACCGGTAAAAAAAATATAACTCAGTACTCACTGCAGTGAGTGACTGAGAGCGCATTTTCTCGTCGACGAAAACTTGAGGTCACGGACGGACAGACGGACGGACAGACAGACAGACAGACGGACATGGCGAGCACAATAGTGCATTTTTTCCATAAATGAGAAAATGCGCTAAAAAGACATGTAAAGACATGGTAAAGATATTTATATACAGTATACTGTACAAAGGGTTCATACGCTAATATCGCCCACAGAATTTTTGTGCACCACCGAAAAACTGATATTCTCCGATACGAGAACACCACTAAACTACAGAATGAAATTACCTTCTCTTATCTGCTAAAGGCGTAAGCTAAACAATGATGACAAATAATTTATTTGTAGTTCTGAGGAAGCACAACAATCAGTGCGAAGGCATTATTATTTCGAGTCAACAACCCAATAATAAATCATGATATTCTTCAATAAATTCAACACCGGTATACATAAGATAATTCATGAATTGTCTCATGTACACACAATTAGTCCACAATTATAAAGTAAGTCCTAATTTGTCGTGACTGGATCAAAACTTTGTCTAAAAAGCTATGGATTGAGGCGGCTGTTAGAAAAATATTACTTCATATTATATATACAGTGGGGGGAAATAAATATTCGTACACTTGAAAAATCGTATTTTAATGTATGTAAGTACACAAACTTAACAGGAAAAGTGATTTAAATTATGTATAGAGACGCATAGTATTCAAAAATACTATCAAAAGAAATTAAATCTCAATGCAACAAAAAACAATGCAACATGTTCACTATTTAATTTCTTTTGATAGTATTTTTGAATACTATGCGTCTCTATACATAATTTAAATCACTTTTCCTGTTAAGTTTGTGTACTTACATACATTAAAATATGATTTTTCAAGTGTACGAATATTTATTTCCCCCCACTGTATATATAGAATATTAGAGAAGAATATTGAAGAATATATATAGAACATTACTTCATCTTAGCCATAAACAGAAGACATATGCTGCACGCAGAATATTACTTCATATTAGCCATAAACAGATGACATATGCTGCACGCGGTATATTACTTCATATTAGCCATAAACAGAAGACAAGGGTTAAGGCTCCAATAAAACATGTCGACCGAAGCCCCGAGTGTAGGGATGTCCAAATTTCCCCAAGCTACAGCCTGAGTTAGTGCGCGTAAGCGAAGCAACAAAACTTTTATTCACAAGGTTCCTTCGTACACCCAGAAAAATATATGGGTTATACTGGCCAAATGCTGACACGATTTCAACATGAAGCACTGATACGCCTATTTTTGCCGGGCTAGACTTAGTTTGGATATAAGGAACTACACAATAATTAAATGTGTATCGCTATTCGGAAAAAAACTTATTTATTTCCCTGGTTGTAAAGTAGTCGGGAAGTCGGGCTTGCAGGGGCGAGGTACAAACAAACAATTCGTCTGAATAATAATTAGAAATAATAATAATCCAGTACGGCTAATTTAGACATTACAAGGTTGTTTGTGTCTTTATCATGTATAAATATTTTTTAGGTATAAAATTGGCTGTTTAATAAATTTGTAAAAACCTTGGAGAAAATGATGTTATTACAGGAAATATTTGAGAACAGGATGAAAGCTTTCTTCAATTTTAACAATGCTCTTTTTTACTCTTCAAAAAATAACATTTGTTTATTTTTTACTTATACTTTTTTCATTTATTTACTAGTGTTTTAGCCAACGTGTGACAACCGAGGCATTTTAAAACGAAATCAAAACTATGTGTAGTCAAAACCTATTAAACAAAAAACTATTTATTATCTAATTTCAAACGTAGCACTGATTCGCTCTTTTGCTGGGACAAACTCTGTCGCGATGACCCAAACCAGCTGAAAAATTGGACAATGTCCCACACATTTTTCCGAAAACATGCACGGCACATGTCAGCCGAACTCACACACAACCTGTAGCGACGAAACGCGTCGCTTCCAAATAAAACAAATACAAACGATGTATTTCCAGGAACACAGCTTCGACGTGTTAAAATTCGACACAGGCTCACTTGTGTTTTGTATTTCTATGGCCATTGTACGGACGCGACTTTGTCCATTGTCCCTTTAAAAGTCCTCCGCTTCTCGAAATAAAGCAAGCCATTTCCATGGAAACGGCAGCCACAAAAGCTGCATTTAAAAGATCCGTTCCTGTGTTGAGTTTTATAATAAAAAAGCGATTGATGGACCCCAATCAATATATGATTGTGCAGTGGCAACGAATATCGCAGAAAAATAATAATTTTTGTTATAATTTTTCCGTAAAATGTGAAACGGCTTTGAAAAGAATTAAAAAATCGCCATATAACTACAGCGGGAAATCATCGAAAGAGGTAAATTAGATAGCAAAACGCAATTGATGAATCACAATCAATAGGATTGTGCAGTTTCAAATACGGTTTTAGAAAAATTATCATAGTGAGAATTTTCCGTTTAGTAGGGAAACCTAACATTGAAACCAATTATGGAAAAGCGAAAACAGCAATAGATTACAGCGGAAAAATCCCACACAAAAAATTAATTTACAAATTCATTAAGATTACCACTACAGACGATCATCATCGACATTTCACGGAAAAAAACTCTGGAGTTAAATTTGCGAGCCTCTTCTTAATTCTTCCTAGCCAAACTGCGTCAAGATGACCCATACAATTAATGGTATAAAAATGCATCGATATTGGAACAAAATTACACTCGTTTCTCTGGGTGTGTATAGAGCTTCTTCAGTATATATGAAGCGTTGTTCGCAATTGCACCTGCAGCCGGCAACAACAACATGACTTCGCAGGACCGGAATACGAGGCAGGATACGGAATACGAGGCAGGATACGGAATACGAGGCAGGATACGGAATACGAGGCAGGATACGGACACAATAATCCGCATCTAATTGGTACACAAAGGCGTTACACTCAGAGAAAAGAGCGAGACTTTGTCCTAAATAGCGATGCACTTTATGCTCTTGTGTGGGTCATCTTGACACAGTTTGGCCCGGCAAAATAACGCATCGGAGTTTCGTGCAGGAAGTGTGTCACTATTTGAACAAAATGACCAACAGATTTCTCGGAGTGAAGCCTGACAGGAATATCTACCGAAGGCTGATTGATCTTCCAATATTGTTGTTGGAATTATAATTATCATCGACTTGATTGAGATTAAATAATAAACAACTTTAAGTATTCAGGTTGAATAATGAACAATTCAAGCAGATCCTTATGATGAAAAATATGTTGAGATAGTTTTCAACTTAAAAATGCTAAGCCTTCTAAGCTTAAATATTAGAAAATGCAACTCAGTACTCACTGCAGTGAGTGACAGAGAGCGCATTTTCTCGTCGACGAAAACGTGAAGTCACGGACGGACGGACGGACAGACTGACAGACAGACAGACAGACAGACGGACATGGCGAGCACAATAGTGCATTTTTTCCATCAATGAGAAAATGCGCTAAAAAGCGCGAATATCGTCGAATATTTTCTACACTGTCTGGAACATATTGTATAAAATACTAGCTTATCCTTTCAAAACTGGTGCCAAGGAAGTGCAATAGAACTTCTTTAAGTCGATTTAATCTGTCCCACTATGGCACTGAACTTCTCTCGGCGCTTCAGCTGCAATTTTTTTTCGTAAATAACCGAGGAGGACTCGGTTATTTCAACACCAAACCTTAGAATTGCAAACCTGTTAACCGATGGATAAAGCTACGTCGCATGATGAACTTACAACTAGAAAGAGTACCGCACTTTATATGCAATGAAAGCGCAGGAAAATTTGCTGTCTAGCTGACTATATATGAGCCAAATATGGCCAAGTCTCGCGATATAAGACAAGTAAGACATGAGAGACATGTACAGCATGTGAGACATGCGAGACATGTAAGACATGTGGGACATGTAATATATGTGAGACATGTAATACATGTAAGACATGTGAGACATGTAATACATGTAAGACATGTGAGACATGTAAGACATGTGAGACATGTAAGACATGTGAGACATGTAAGACATTTGAGATATGTAATAAATGTATCTTTGCTATTCAACAAAAAAATATGTAATTTCTATTCATATTCGATTTCTACGCTTATTAACGAGCTAAGAATCAATATGAAAGTAATCATGCAAAGAGCTCATGGTTTCACATTATCATCCTTTTGGCGCTTAACGGTTTTTCTCGTAAGAGACCAGACATGGTCACTTCAGAGTACAATCGTTGCTGGCGCAAACTAGAACAACATAAAGTTCAATAGAAATGCACGAACTAATACGAAAAATATTTAACTGATCTGAAAAAAACGTCAAAATAAAATAATTGGCATAATGTAACAGAAAATAAATTTTAGAAGCAGTAACGAAACTTTATTGAGTAAGCATAAACATGATAGAAATTACACAGTTTCTGGTGTATAAAAATTAAAAATAATAGCCGTACCAGAAGAGACTCGCTGGAGGTGAAGGACAGCGCCTCTGCAGCTGCCACTTCTTGGCACTGATACTTGACGTGGCCAGAGACACGGAGCAGCTGGTGCTGCTGCCGAGCCATCTGTAGCAGCCGTAGTACTACGCCGTCACATTGGTACACCACCTGAGTAATGAGAGCATTGGTACACCACCTGAGTAATGAGAGCATTGCTACACCACCTGAGTAATGAGAGCATTGGTACACCACCTGAGTAATGAGAGCATTGCTACACCACCTGAGTAATGAGAGCATTGCTACACCACCTGAGTAATGAGAGCATTGGTACACCACCTGAGTAATGAGAGCATTGCTACACCACCTGAGTAATGAGAAAATTCGTACACTACCTGAGTAATGAGAGCATTGGTACACCACCTGAGTAATGAGAGCATAGGTACACCACCTGAGTAATGAGAGCACTGCTACACCACCTGAGTAATGAGAGCATTGCTACACCACCTGAGTAATGAGAGAATTCGTAAACTACCTGAGTAATGAGAGCATTCGTAAACCACCTGAGTAATGAGAGCATTGCTACACCACCTGAGTAATGAGAGCATTCGTAAACTACCTGAGTAATGAGAGCATTCGTACACTACCTGAGTAATGAGAGCATTGCTACACCACCTGAGTAATGAGAAAATTCGTACACTACCTGAGTAATGAGAGCATTGGTACACCACCTGAGTAATGAGAGCATAGGTACACCACCTGAGTAATGAGAGCACTGCTACACCACCTGAGTAATGAGAGCATTGCTACACCACCTGAGTAATGAGAGAATTCGTAAACTACCTGAGTAATGAGAGCATTCGTAAACCACCTGAGTAATGAGAGCATTGCTACACCACCTGAGTAATGAGAGCATTCGTAAACTACCTGAGTAATGAGAGCATTGGTAAACCACCTGAGTAATGAGAGCATTGCTACACCACCTGAGTAATGAGAGCATTCGTAAACTACCTGAGTAATGAGAGCATTCGTAAACTACCTGAGTAATGAGAGCATTGCTACACCACCTGAGTAATGAGAGCATTCGTAAACTACCTGAGTAATGAGAGCATTGCTACACCACCTGAGTAATGAGAGCATTGCTACACCACCTGAGTAATGAGAGCATGGGTAGACCACCTGAGTAATAATAGCCTTGTTACACCTCCTCTGATTGAAACACTGAGCAAGAAATAAACGAAATCATCTCAATAAAGGAGTGTAGGAGTATAAGAAGTATAAGAGTATTCATTGTTGATTCCAATAAATAGTGACTTAAGAAATTGAAAAAACCTAAATAAATAAAATGCGATCACAAACGTAACATTTTATTCAGCTTCCTAAGGCACGAATCAAGCAAGATAAATAAAGCGAGAATAGAAAGTAAAGAAAGTGACAAATATCTTGTATCATTTTATTGAATAAATGTGAATACTTTCATTTGAAGTAAGTAAATAGGAAACTAGAAATTTACGCTTATCGAGAAAAAAACACCGAAAACGAAACGTAACGTATCAAACTACGTCTTTCACGATCATTGTTCCGGTTCATCCCAAAAAGACATTGACGCCATAGCTATAAAAAAGAAGCACTTTGTGCAGGCTTAGGATGTAATACTTAATTTCTTCCTTCAAAATAATTTTCCTGAACAGGATTTGGCCTTTAAAGTGAATTTCGTGCAAGTGAAGGTCTACATAAGCGCAAAGTTTCACCGAAAAGTTCTGCTTCTTGAACTAAACAATTTCCGATGACGGTGAATTTTTCACGTGGCCCGCCATATTTGCATTGTATTGTATTTTAAAGTCAAGCCTGCGGTCGCGGATAGGGTGCATGAAAGAGCCCAGTCATGCCGCAATATATGTGAAACATGTATTAAATATAGGAAAAATATCACTTACGATGCGGAACTTCAAGCCTAACTAAAATTCAAAATGAAGACTTTTGAAGAAAATTATGTCTACATGGAACAAAATTGATAATTTTGATAAAAAATTTCATCGCTGATTCAAATAAATGGCGATTTAAGAAATGAAAAGAAAATAAATACATACAATCACAAATGGACCATTTTGTTCAGCGTCCTAAGTCAAGAATCAAGTAAGATAAATTAATCTAGCATTGAAAAGTAAACAAAAAGACAAATATCTTATATAATATTATTAAATGAATACGAATATTTTCATTACAAATATGAAAATTGTCTAGACGGAATCGTTTCGGCCTCTAAATGTATTATCTTCGGCCGACTATAAGTCATCTATAATTGAAATGTGATGTTAGAAATAAAGTTCAACTAAGTTACGAACTTTTCCGTTACAAATAACGAGAGACTAAGTTTCCGTTGATGTTAGCTGAAATTTAACGAAAAAATATCCCGGATTCTTGGAAGATTGTGCGCCAGGTATTTCGAGAATTTTAATTTGACAATCAAATCCAAGCCTAAAGAACGCTCGTTGCGCCTCTTGCCAGAGATCTAGGAAGGCTCGCACCGTCTCCCAATACCTTATATGTTTATTAATGTGAAGATAAAATATTAGGGAAAATCTTTCGTTATTTACATGAAGACAGACTATAAAGGATAGTCTATCATAATTTTTATGAGGTTATAGTATAAATGAAACGATAATTTCACTTACATGAAGGAAGGATATTAAAAGAAGTCTACATTTATAAGGATACAGACTATAAAGGAATGGCTATCTTTATTTCCAAGACAAACTATAGAAGCAAACGCTACATTCATTTATAAAAAGATGAAACACTGTCTTTATTGATACGAATAAAGACTATAAATGAAAAGCTTTCACACAACTCACATACTACCCTCTGTGAGGGTAAGACCTCACAACTCACATACTACCCTCTGTGAGGGTAAGACCTCACAACTCACATACTGCCCTCTGTGAGGGTAAGACCTCACAACTCACATTTTTGAGGCAGCCGATGAAGTTAGCTTTAGTTTTAGCGCCCGGCAGCAGCGCGGGATGGTTGGAGCCGCCTACGTAGAGGCGAGAAGACGCCAGTTGGTTGAATGGACCAGCTGTCGTGCGCCGCTGGTCGTACATCCCGTCTACTGACACGGACAGCTGGTAAGAAAACGGAAATCGGAATTAATTTCACGGTAGTTACACCATCTGACTGACAGAGAAGAAACGTCCAAAAAAGGAGAGAATTTTATGGTATTTACCGTCAACTAACGCTGGTAGCTGGAGAGAAATCAGCAATCTGCATGAGTTTCATATGACAAATGAAGAGGAAAAGTACAAAAGACGACATGAATTTAGTGTTTTCTACTATTTAAAAACAATGAGAGCTGGCCAAAAATAGCGACAGGTGGCTACAAATTTCTAGCAGACAGAACTAACAGAACTAATTCTTATAGTGGTTACCGTCATCTGAATCATTACAGATGGTGGAAAATATTCAAACAGGTGGCTGCAGTAAATTTAAAAATCTAGAACAAGATGAAAATAATGAGCAAGGACTGTATATCATAACTCGCTTAAGTATAGCCATACCGGTCATAAGTACACGTAGCTGCCGATTTCTCGTCTATAATTGGTGCGTTAAGCTTGAAAAGCCGTCAGTCATTGGCTGATGGAGTTACAAACTCATACTGTTTTTGATAGTCCGGCTCCAGAAACCTTATTTACATGGAACGAACTTTCTATGCAGATGAAATGCACCGAAACACGTCGCGTCAAAGGGGGTCACCCAAAATACATCCGTGAATTTCAATCGAGTGTAGTAAAGGCAAGAATAGCAATGAAAACAAACATGAAAGGACATGACCAAACTCCGTAACTCTTTGGTCAAAGCCAAAGTTAATTTACTCGTGATTTGTAGGCAAGTTGCTTCAAAGTGAAACAGCGTGCGGGAGTTTAGATGAAGGCCACTCATTGACCGTCCGAAACTCCAGGCTGATCATGTCAACATGCTCCGGGGCATGGCAACATGATAAGGCTGATCATGTCAACATGCCCGGGGGATGGCAACATGATAAGGCTGATCATGTCAACATGCCCGGGGGATGGCAACATGATAAAACCTTACATCGAGCACCCAATACAAATATTACCTTGCCAACCAATGACAGGATCGTTAACTAGGTTCCTTTGAATACAATAAAAGACGCATTACGTGCTTACCTCTTGGGGAACTTGAGCAAGGATTCAAGAAGTGAAATCGAACTACCGGAAATCTTTATCAATACAAACATTACTTAATGGCTTGCTTACATTAATTGTTTGTAGATGATAATGAAGATCTTGAACAAATATGTAAGATAAGTGAAATAAATACATAATACATTCATGCTTAGTATACGTATCAACTCACGCTACAGAAGCTTGTGTGGCTGTTGATCTGCAAAGAGACGCGGAACAGGAATATATTAATTATTGATTCGATAATTAATACTAAATAAATTAATAAATCATTAAATATTCAGTAACTAATGATTCAAAATCAATCATCGAGAGAAAATAGGTCAAATTATATTAAATTAAGGTTGCTGTATACAAATAGTCTATATAACTATATTGACTAATAATTATAGGATTAGTATTAACTTTTTGGCTTCTGGCGAATACTCAACGTAATCTCGTCCGTCTCCGAGTACAATTTTCTTTGATAAATAATCTGCCTTGAAGCCTAATAATTAATGCTCGTTTTAGTTGACATCCGTCTGCTACTCCAAGCTCATCACATTTTTCATCAGCCTGATTCATCCAAGATTTTCACATTTTTCTCCCGACTACTACGCCAAGCTTTTCTTATTTTTCACCGTCTACTACGCCAAGCTTTTCTTATTTTTCACCGTCTACTACGCCAAGCTTTTCTTATTTTTCACCGTCAACTACGCCAAGCTTTTCTTATTTTTCACCGTCAACTACGCCAAGCTTTTCTTATTTTTCACCGTCTACTACGCCAAACTTTTCTTATTTTTCACAGTTTACTACGCCAAGCTTATCTTTTTCGTCACCTTCTACTACGTCAAGCTTTTTATTTTACCCTGTCTACGACGCGTCTCTTATACACATCTAGATGTGTATAAGAGACAGCTACCCTCTGTGAGGGTAAGACCTCACAACTCACATACTGCCCTCTGTGAGGGTAAGA